CCGCCCTCGGGGCCCTGCGCTCGCCGCGGCCTTGCTGGTGCGCGGTGCCGGGATGCGGGGCGAGGCTGCCTGCGTGACACCCGTGCTGTCGTACCGACGTTTGCTCCCCGTGTTCCTTCTCAGACTTCGGCAAATCACAAACTGCAGCACATTATTTAAGGTTTCAGAAGGATACGGCAGAATTGGGGCCGAGCGATAGCGGATGTTGGCCCTCGAGCTGGGGAGGTGGGATTGCAGCTGGTGGTGAAGGGTGTCCGACGCTTGCGGGTTTCTAGGATGGAGGCCCCATAGTGAGCTGGGTCTCGCTGCTCTCTCCCCGCAGCGCTGAGCAGCCATGGAGAGGATGCAGCGGGTCGTTGGGCGGGCAAGAGCCGCCTTCAACTCAGGCCGGTGCCGCTCACTGGAGTTCAGGATGCAGCAGCTGAAGGCCCTGGAGCGCATGGTGCAGGAGAAGGAGGAGGAGATCCTGGCAGCCATCAAGGCAGATTTGCACAAGGTCTGGGTTGGGAGGTTTCTCCCAGTAGCTATGCGTGGACAATGATGTGCCCAGAAGGCAAAGTGGGAAGGCCAAGGGCTGTCTTTGCCATGCCATCGATCCCGGCAGCCATCAAGGCAGATCTGCACAAGGTCTGGGTTGGGAGGTTTCTCCCAGTAGCCATGCGTGGACAGCGGTCAGCCCAGAAGGCAAAGTGGGAAGGCCAAGGGCTGCCTTTGTCATGCCAGATGGCTTTTGCTGATGTTCCCCACAGTTCTGGTTCTCACTGTGGCCTGCCAAGGTCTGCTGCCACCCTTTCTAAGAAGGAGCTAGCCTGAGGCAGGACTGCAAAGGCAGGTCCTGGCTGTTAGGTTTTGCTTTCAGCTGTACGTTGAGCCCCATGCACCCAGATTGACTGTCTTCTATCAGGGATCCCTTGGTGCAGCACTGCTAGTAACTGTCCTGGCAGATGCTTTAAGCCAGCAGAATTTATCTTGCTTCCCCAGGCCACCACGGTGGGTGCGGGAGGTGGGTGCCTTCGCCGTCCCCTCCCCAAGCTCCCTGTCGTTGCAGAGTGGGCACAATGCATACAGCCATGAGATCCTGGGCGTGCTGGGGGAGCTGGCCCTGGCCATGGACAAGCTGCCATCCTGGGCAGCCCCTCAGCCTGTGAAGAAGAACCTGCTGACCATGCGGGATGAAGCCTATATCTACTCTGAGCCACTGGGGGTGGTGCTGATCATGGGGGCCTGGAACTACCCCTTCGTCCTGATCATGCAGCCTCTGGTGGGGGCCATCGCAGCAGGTAGGGACCCGCCACAGACCCTGTCACCCCGTGGGGCCGTGGGTGGGTGCTGTGGGAGGCAGGAGAGGAGCATGAGGGCTCAGTGGCCACACTGGGTTTGTCTTGTAGGCAATGCTGTGGTGGTGAAGCCGTCAGAGATCAGCGAGAACACTGCTCGGCTGGTGGCTGATCTCCTCCCCCAGTACCTTGACCAGGTGAGTGTGGCCCCATGCCCGATGAGACTGCTTTGAGGAAATACCTGTCATGCTTTTGAAGGGCTCCTGCAGGGTAGAGTCAAATCAGTTGCCCGCTCTCTCAAAGGAGTGTAAGCAGGAGATACAGGAAGATTTGAATTACTCAGAGTACAGAGACACGCTGACGTATTGTTTCTGTATTTATGTAACCTAACGTGCCTACATAATGTTGCTGCAACGTGACAGCCTTTTTGACATGCCTGTGTAAAGAGGTGTGTATGTACTTCTCACTGTAATAATTGCTCTCTTGGACGCTGTGCCAGGGTTGCCTCTAGGTAAGCACAAGTTTGCGCCAGC